AATAATATTTTACAAATACTTATGCCATTTTCTCAAATATGTTCTATTTTATAATCGTTAGATAGGCGGAGACAGCAAATTAGGTTATCACTTCCTCTAAAAGTTTTATAACTATAACAAAACAAAATGTAGAAGTTCAGTATAAATAGTAATAAGTAATATATTTATTACTTAATATTTTTTAATTTTAATATTAATTTAATTTACAGGCAKTATGGAAAAAAATGAAATCTTTAAATTATTTAGAAACCGTTAATTCAAATACATATGCTTTGAAAACTTTAAAAATTCTAATGTGTTTGCCATTATTACCCAGTGCAGAAATTGAACAAGGTTTTCTACTGACTAAAGCATATGCTATCCACCACAACGTTCCATTAACTAACCTGTTTGAATATTACCACAAGTATTACATAATAATAATTTTATGTACTATATACCTATGTTTCAATTATTAAAATACACATTTTTTATTATGGTTAAACTTTAAAGTTACTGGATACGACGAGTCGGAGTTAACATCTTATCCGTAAATGGTGTCTCAAGAAGGACAAATAACAACTTGGAGAGCTTTCATAACTTTTTGAGACACAAGTTTTCCATTGCACATCCAAATTTATGGGTCTTTCTTGGTAAGTTATAATTAATTTCCATTTTTATCTGTGTAAAGACTAAAAACAACACCTTTTCAATATTAAAAACAATATATTTTAATACATTTTATTTTATTTTTGTCAATAATTTCTTTTTTTATTGGTCTAAACTCTAAAGTATCGGCAACAGTGGCGATTAGCAATAGAACTTTTAATTAGGTATATCACCAGATGAAAATAGTAAATTCAATTAACATAGGTTTCAACTTTCAAGTTTGGATCTAAAATTAGAATGTACCTTTGAGTGTTTCAGTGGTGGTTTTATGCTGTGGGTTTTAGGCAATAAAAATAACTCACAATTTAATATAAACATTTAACTATAAACATGTAGTAGGTAACTGTCCTGTTTGTTTAATTCAGTATTCTTTATAGTTCAATGAGTTGGCAATTTGAAAATCATGCACATAATATTTATTAAATTTAAGTCTTAATCATAAATATTAAATACCTAAATACCTGTACCATTTATAATATTGAATTCAGTATTATTTTAAATTTGATGAAAAGTGCTTCATTAAGCACAATTTAAGATTTTAAACYGTGATGTTAAGACTATCTTTGACTGTTAAACTTGCTAAACTGCATAATTTGATAATATGAAGCTATGTCATAGACATATAAATATTAACATATACATATTAATGTGTCTATGAGCTATATATTATTATATTTTATAAGTTATATTAGTTATAAAACATTATATATATATATATAATTATATTATGTTCGTATAACAAACACATATATTATAAATTATAATAATAATAATAAATTTGGTTAAATCATCAGGTCAAATATGTGAGTTGAGCCAAAAGTACCACACTACAGTTACTCAAATTTCCAATGGYCTGCAACCAACAAGKAACCTTAAAACTAAGTACCTTCTTAACTCAAGGTTGATAAAAAGGGCTGTTGAACATCACGAATCAGGTCTATTAAGTGTATGGCAATTTCTAGTGAAATGTTCATACTCATGTGCTGGCTATGAAAGAAGGCAAAGACATTGGGCACTAGGTATTGAACATGATCATGAGTCAAATGATGATGTTTTGGAAGATGACTTTGTTGAACCAGTTCCAGAAGTACCACAAAATGCACCAGAAGTAGTACACAATCCAAGGAATTGTATGGTTTGTTTAACTACTACTCCTGGTGAAAATGTAGCTCAACATATAGTGTTGCCTTGTGGTCACGCCTGGGTGTGCGAAACTTGCGTTTCAGTGTTGGATGGACAATATCAAAGAACGTGCCCAGTCTGTCGAGGAGATGTACTTCGTTTCCAAAGAATGTTTTTGTCATAAATAACAATGTAAATTAAAATTTGATATTATATACAATTATCATGCATATATATTAAGTACATAGTCACCTGCATCATGTTCCTATAGTGTATAGTTATATACTGAAATGTAGTTATTACTCTTTTGTGTGTTTTTTTTTTTTAAACAATGCCAAATGTTAAAATTGAAAAAGAAACTGAGATTTAAATTAAATATTTTATTATATAGGTTAGAATCCATAATTAATGAAAGGTTCTTTTGATGAAACCAATCTACTTATAACGAGGGTTGAGGGATGACCAATATACTAGAACAGAGTTGGTATCTAAAACAAAACGCATTTAATTTGTTTGATTAAGTAAGAGGTACTAGATACCAACTTAATTTATAATTTTCAAATACAAGATTCTAAATTCTAAATTGTAAACCTACTTAATATGTAAGTTACAACYAGATTTGTAAAGAATRCCTATAAAAAATGTTAAAAAACTTTTACCCACTTTAGGTAGTAATTTATTTAAAGAAACAACCATGTAAAAACAAATTATATTGTTGTACAAGTATTTGATGAAAATACAAAAGTTGTAATGTGAAAAACAAGCCATATTATTGAACCAGTGTTATCAAAATAAAATTTGTTAAAAAAAAAGTAGCTATTTTAAATAGGTAGGTACTATATTAAGTTTTAAGGCAAAAATATTCGAAAAGTATTTAAAAAGTGTTCTACACCAAAAAAACCTTTAAATAGGTACCATAGAACGGAGTGAAGTGGACCAGTTTTTGGTAAATTTCTTAAAATTCCGAAGAATTTATTTGACTAAAACGATTGAAACTTGGAGTGTATATACGTATGTATGCTACAGTTAATGAAATTTTTTTTCTAACTTTTTTAAACCTTTTTTTTGTGCTAAAAAGTAGTCCACTTTACCTAGATATGTGGGGTCAAGTGRACCAGGCATTTGTTTTTCATTAAAAACTATTTCAATCGATTCTAGTTTTGAAGTGGAGCACTAAATTATATTTTTTAAAAAACATTAGACAACATTTTGAGCATATACAATTGTTTAACCTTGTTTATTCATCAATTTGAGCAATTTGTTTCAATATTTAAAAAAAATCTTACTTTTTACAGGTTTAATACCTGTTGATTTTGTTAGAATTATTGATATTCTTCTTTCTAAGGATGAAAATAATAACAAATTTCTTATTATTAGTATGTTCAATGGTTAACAAGAACTTAATAAACACATTTTAGAGCATAAAAAATATTCGTAGTCTTACTTACTTTTGAGTTTCAGACGACGTTTGAATGAAAAAAAAATCGTTATTTTGTGTCGAACGAAATGATAAGAATTGATAAGGATCGTCCTGTACTATTGTTATCACTAGTATCAAAAATTGTTAATTATCATCATAGACCTTATAYTATATACCTATGTTGAGAATCATTGGTTTATGGTATTATAAATTCCGTAATTTTACTTTCCGCTAAATTACGGTCCGTGATTTTACGTTCCTGGATAATACAGTCCAGAGTATTACTATCCG